ATCTACTTGCATTTTGCATTTTGCATGCTTTCGAACTGCTAGGTTGGCAGGAGCTGGGACAAGTGATGGGAGCTCATTCCGTCACGTGGATTCGATCTTACGACTTCAGGTCTTCTGACCTTGCAGCACAGAGGCTTCTGCGGTTTAAGCCGCAGCGCCACCATGTTCCCTGCAGCATATATAGCACATGACTATACAGACAAAGATGTTGACATTTTAAAAAGGAGAAAAAAGAAAACATTCAAACGGTTCATGTGACAGACAATCACGACTGAGTGATCACGCTTGGAAGTGCAGCCCCGGGTCTACATCGGAAGGACCAAAAACAAAACGAAACAAGTCCCTTTGCCAACTGTGGAAGGTGTGAAAACCTCCTGCTGGGAGCATTATATGTTCTTAAAGAATTTCCAGTTCTCACGGTTCCTCTCACGTCATCTAGTTCTTGGTTCTTATTTCCCCCCCGTAATACGGGATGTCAACATGGCCCCTTCTTCTCCTGGGCCTTCATTACCTTTTCCTGTTGCTTTGGGATGACCAAGTTGGCGCTCCGGTGCACCGCCTGTTCGGCTTCATCCTTGTCCCTGCACCGCTGTTCGTAGAGCCTCTTCGCCTAAGGAAAGCGAGGACAACACAGGTTCAGTTGGGTAAGACGCCCCCCACTTTTCTAATCCAAAATTAAGAAATCTAAGTGGGGCTTAGCAAGTGGAGGGGGAAAGGGATCAAAGTGCTGCAGGATCGCTTCGATCCCTGCTTTCCCCTCCACTTGTTTTTGTTCTCCCCTCAGCTTACTTCCGTGTATAAGACGACCCTGAATTTTTAGTCTAAAGATTTGAGACAAAAGTATAGTCTTATACATGGAAAAATACGGTAAATCTCCAGAAGGAAAACGTTTTACCACACTCTAATTACGTTTTACCAGACTCTAAAAACTCCCTTGTGTTCGGCTTCATCCTTGTCCCTGCACCGCTGTTCGTAGAGCCTCTTCGCCTAAGGAAAGCGAGGACAACACAGGTTCAGTTTGGTAAGATGCCCCCCCCCACACTTTTCTAATCCAAAATTAAGAAATCTAAGTGGGGCTTAGCAAGTGGAGGGGGAAAGGGATCAAAGTGCTGCAGGATCGCTTCGATCCCTGCTTTCCCCTCCACTTGTTTTTGTTCTCCCCTCAGCTTACTTCCGTGTATAAGACGACCCTCAATTTTTAGTCTAAAGATTTGAGACAAAAGTATAGTCTTATACATGGAAAAATACGGTAAATCTCCAGAAGGAAAACGTTTTACCACACTCTAATTACGTTTTACCAGACTCTAAAAACTCCCTTGCACAGTTTTCACTCAGTCTCACCTGAGCTTCACGTCTCTCTTTTCTAGATGGAAAATGCTCAGGAAAAGAAAAAGATTGACACTTTCCAGGTGTTTATATGCAGAGGAATCCCTCCTCTTTCTCGAAAGATCTAGGAACACTCAACACTTGGGAAAGTTCCTTCCTGAAGCACAATTCCCAAAGTTCTCCAGCCAGCATGGCCATGTGAGTTGTGCTCCAAAAATCCAATCTTTGCCAAGCCCCCTACCTGTGAACTTTGGGGAAATAACAAAAAACCATCTACGCTGCTCATTTCCTCTTCTCCTGCTGAAAAAGGCTATGCATTGCTAAACCATCCCACCAGGAGACAGGATTGTTATGGGTGCAGCTGCAACGTCACCTTTGGAAAAATCAGAAGGGAAGTACAACTCACTTCTAAGGTTTTCTTATACTGCAAATTCCGGTTTTTATGGATCGCATCCATTATAAGCTCGATCTGTGGGGGGCAAAAAGGTACCAGTATTAGCAGTCTGTCCTGCTCTTCAGAAAGCTAGGGAAGGAGGGAAGAACACATTTCCGGTTTCTAAAAATAGAAGACCACACAAGCAGGCAACAAAAAGGGAAACATCATGACACTCTTGCACAAGAGAATTGCCACTTCCTTGCTACGGATAACCAAGGAAGTATTGCGGCCTTCTTATGCTCTGCATCAGTTCTGATATCTGATAAAGAATCTGAACTCCACAGAGTGTCTATTTATTTCTAAAAGGGACTGTTATGTGATCTATGGCAGGAGAACAGCATGAAGGCAGGATGGCCGATCCTGCAAGGAACAGAGGTTCCACTTCAATGACATGTATACATGGGGCGTCCCACCTAGGAAGCCCCATGAGAGCTAGTAACTTGGAATGACTTAATATAGCTGAGGGTCTCTGTAATCCAGGATCTGCTACAGATGGTAGATTCTTCCCACAGTTTCATGCCTGTGGGATGAAATACGCTGAACACTGAATCACAGAATCATAGAACAGAGAAGTTGGAAGGGGTCTATAAGGCCATGAAGTCCAACTCCCTGCTCAATGCAGGAATATATATAATTACACAGGAAAAGCAAAATTACGATTTGTCTGTAATGCAAAAATTACATAAGGAAGGAGTGTACTGTCACTTTGTGTTCATTATATAATTACACAGGAAAAGCAAAATTACAATTTGTCTGTAATGCAAAACTTACATAAGGAAGGAGCGTACTGTCACTTTGTGTTCATCTTCCACACACACACAAAACAAACAAACAAACAAACACACAACAGTGCTCAGGAATAAACTTCACACACACACACACACACACACCAGTGTTCAGGAATAAACCATGGACTTAATTCATGGCATAAGTGGGTGCAAAAGGAATGAAGAAATGTGAAAATGTTTTAATATCATTAAGAGAATCTGTGCGGAGTCAGATCAAGGATATATCTAGCACAACATACTGTTCCTACCAGAGCCAAACTATAGGGACTTATGTTTCTTTATGTCTCTTGCTGTTGTTTCAACTATCATGGTCATTTCTACTCCCATTAAACTCTTGCAAACGATGCATGTAAACCTATGCACGCCAACTGTAAAACTCAAAACAATCCATACAGTAAAAGAAGCTCCCCAACCCCCTGCCCGTCACACTTTTGCAAGAAGACCACAATACATATTTACATTATTTCATGCAAACTGCATTTATATTAAAGGATATGAACAACTAGACGCACACTAAAAACATAAAAAGACAAAAGTAAAAAAAATACACAAATTTTTGTTTTTGAAAAAAGACAGCAAAATCGTTCAGTACTTTGAGCTCAGAAGCTCTCGGCACTTTAGAAATTTCCTCTTCTCTTCCTGTGCTACTTCCAGCCTGTCCAAATGGCGGCATTGCAAATTTTATCTATCTATCTATCTATCTATCTATCTATCTATCTATCTATCTATCTATCTATCTATCTATCTATCTATCTATCTATCTATCTATCTATTTATTTACATTGGCGCCTTGCTTAACAATGTTAATAGGTTCCAAAAAACATCGCTATGGGAAAACATCGTTAAGCGAAACGTGTTTTCCCATAGAGATGCATTGAAAACCGGTTAATCCGTTCCAATAGGCACGGATTGCCGTCCTTAAGCGAAAAAACCCATAGGAAACATCGTTAAGCGATACAATGTTTCCTCCATTGGAATGCATTGAAGCCTATTCAATGCATTCCAATGGTTTTGCTATGTCCGTTTTTGCAAATTTAAGTGTGTCTTAAAAGGTTCAAAAACTGTTTTAAATGCTTGG